AGCATTCAGCTGCGACTGAGCCTCGCCTCAACAGGTAGCATGGCAGCCAACACGATCTGCAACACACGCACACGCCCCTTTCTCACACAGACACAGACACAGGCACAGAGACAAACATTCCTCTTGAAGAGGCTGGTGACTCGACTCCTCCAGGGAAGCCTTCCCTGAAATGGTCTTTCCGCCGGCCATGACTTAACCCAGGATTCTTCCAAAAACATGGTGGGTCCATACAGGGTTGTCTTGTTCAAGCGAACGGTTCACCAAGCTCTGCTGGCAATCTTGCCACTGCGACTTCAGCCGAGAAATAACTCAAAACCCTGAAACTGGAATTGGATGTCCAAGTGAAGCACCTAAATCATGAGCTCGTTTGAAAGGCGAATCGGAGCTCGAATTCCAGAAAATGGGCAGATTCTCTGCAATAGAATCTCAGTGCAAACAGTGTGTTTCATGTTCCGTTGGGACTCCAAAGTTCAAGTTACAAGACCCAGCTAAATAGCCTGGCTCGTTCAGGCCGAGCATCCGCGCGGTGCGAGAGCACCATGACCCAGGCAGCATAAAACCCCCAGCCCAGGTCACCTCAGCTCATGCCAACCGCCAACCTTCTAGAAATTGGAGGCTGCCCCATTTTCATATTGCAAGCAGCCATCCACAAAACCCATGGGGTTTTATCTGCGGGTGTCGTTTCCTTGCTCTATTTCCAATCAAGTTGAGCATCCATCCTGCAACCGTTGCCGATTCGGGATGCAAAAAAAGAGCTTGAACCGTTGGGCCCCGATTCACTAACCGTCACCACAATTTGGACTCGCTTAGTGGTTGATCCGACTGTTCATCGTCCAGTCTGTGGGCCTAGACAGATTAGTTCAATCCGAGGTTGCTTGAGGGTGGAACTCTCAAAGCAAAATGCAAAGGCCCCGAAGGGAAACCTGAGACCGCAAAAACGTGGCCAGGTCTCTTTTGAGGCGAAGTTGAAGGTATCAAATCCATGGATTCCTTGAAGGTTTTGTCATTTCGTCATTGGATGAGCCCCTTGGCTTCGAAGTCACACCCTTGAAAGTTAGCAGCAACGCTGTAACCACTCATCAATTCATCAACGTTGAGAAACCTCCCTTTGTGGGGTCCCTTTTGGGTCTTGCATGATGTGAAATTAGGGAGCATATGGCATATGCCGAGAGAGTGCCTCTCTCTGCAATCATTCACGAAGACATGGCCAGCGCAAATGACAGGAATCTTCAGAATCCACCTTGTCAGTCGGCTTCTGATTTGGAGGGGGAGAAGGGCATCTGCCCTATTCTGCATGCCAGTGCAAAATCAGTCTCAAACTCGCCTCCTGTCTCTTGCGCGGCAAGGCGCGGGAGATATTCGGCCCGAGAAAGACCTCATTGACACCAATGGGCACATCATCCTGAGACAGACGCGACAGAGGGCGTTCGTAAACCACCAATTGCCCTAAGCAATGAATTGGATAGCCCCAGTCCTGCGTCTCGTTGTAGGGTATCTTCACACCAATTTGCATGATGATTGGCACATCTGCCTGCAAGGCAAGGGCTTGAAAAGAAGGTTGCAACAGGTTTTACAGAGGCGGTGGCGCAACCCTCACTACAAATGGCAAGGCAAAGTGAAGGCTTCAACTAGCTTTGGCCGGCGCCAATGGCCTGGTGCCCACACGGGTGGACAAGAACAAAAGAAGGTGTAAAGTTCAATACCGGGGATCCTGATCCAACTTCCGAGGCAGTTCCCCGATAGAACTCAAAATAGGCACTCTGCATGGATTGACGTGGTCAAAGTCCAACAACTTGAGGCGCTTATAATATACTTTCTGCAGTTCGCGTGCGACCTCTGCATGGATCAGTCTCGGATCAAAAGCGATTGCCACTTTTGGATTTGCTCGCGTGATCCTCTGCGCGGATCAGCTTGGTTGATGCTGACTAGGATGCTGGTGCCGAGTTGCCTGCGTTGAGCGCGACGCGCGCGCGCGCAAAACTTGCACTGAGCAACTTGCAAGTTTAAGCTGCACAGAGACCCAGACAAACAAACAGCTTGTGCGGCGAATGTCACGTTGAGCACTTGCGCAGAGAAACTTGAGCCGACAACTGATTCAACTAGCGCGGAGTCATGTGCAAAGAGAACTTGGGCGGAGAGGCTTGCGAGAGATATTGTGCAGGTAACTTGCAGAGAGAACTTGCGCAGAGCCTACTATCGCACAGAACTTGCGCGCAGAACTGGCACAGAGAAGCTTGCACAGAGTGCCTCTCGCAGCTACGACTCGAAGGCATGCTTTCTGGCTTGAAAGACAGGCGTCGGTTCAAAAAACAACATGTGTGCTGCAGCACCTCGCGAACATGTGTAAACGCAATAATGCTTAAATTCAATGATATGCCGTGCTTTCGGGCCACCCGTGGCTCTAGTTTTTCTATTTGCGGGGGGGGGGGGGGCTTACATACCGTTTTAACAAAACCATGGTGGCCTTGAGGGGTGGGTCAATCTGGGAAAACTAATTTGGGAGACAACACCAGGACCCGGGGGGGGGGGGGGCGTTCAAAGGGTTCATCACTTTTGGAAGCAAACACGCCCCCCACCAACAGGACAGGCCCACCAATCCAGGGCTAGCATTAGGTAGGTCGACCCACATCCCCAATCCTGCTTTCCAAACCAGTCCCCCAAAAAACCTTCATGGGTAAGGTATATAGCTTGCGCCGGTGAAGTAGCAAGCACTTGCCCAGTTCCTTCGGCATCACTGGCAAGCCTGCGACACGCAGAACAAGCCCAGCCTTCTCTTTGGCATGTGTGACCCACACGCCATAATGCATGACTTGCGATATGTCCACTGGTGGGTCCCATTGGACAATGCCTTCCATGTAGTACTCGTTGCTTGCAACATCCTCGAATTGAACGTTTCCTCAGCTTCGAATTCAGTCTCAACTGCAGTCTAGTTCTAGTTTCCACTTCAGTAGGTGGCCCGGATTTGTTTGCCTCACAGTTTTGCATGAGGCGTTCTTCATGCTGCCGTCGATGCTGGCTGAAAGCACTTTGGCTTGCTGTTCATGATCGGAGGGGGAACCCACAAATTTGAAGTTTGGTCATTTGCCGTGATAGACCAAAAGGGGGAGGGGGTTCTCAGACTAGGAATCGCAGCGCAAAAAAGCTGGTGTCCTTTTGTTTCCCTTTGACTATCAACCAAAAGAGGGACCACTATTTTTGAGAACTACCCCCAATTAGTCACCCTGAACAAGGAAACCAAAGCATCCGAACCGAATCTCTACCCTTGGGGCTTGGCGGAGCAACCCTGGTCTTGTGTCAACCTAGCAGCTGACGGACGTGTCGTACCCGACAGAGGACCGCAACGCCGCCAACACGGTCAGCAAGAGGCTAGTCCTGTCCCGGCAGAACTGGCGTGAGAAAGCTATGGCGGGTCATCAAAAAAACGTGGAGTCACGAAATCCTGCACCAGCTGGTGGGTGGTTTAGCCCGTTATTTGTAGGGTTTCATCCATTCCAAGTGCGAAGTGGATTTGTCCCTCCACCGTATGGCAACTTGTTGGAGCCTGGTGCCAGCCCTCGTGCCGGCTGCCACCTTTTAGAGGGGACACCCAACAGAGTCCCCAAACTGGATAAATCTTGACCAGGCCTCATTAAGGACTTAAGAAGGACCCGCCCTCCCCATAGCCCTGCTTGGAGGTTCATGAGGTTGACGCACGGCTCCCGCCTCTTGCTGGCCATGACCCATCCTACCCCACAGCCATCGCGTGACCGCGCACCCGACGCCCTGTTGCCGGCTGAGGTGCGAGAGACGCAACACGCGAACAGTTGGACTCCATGGACCTCTTCGGATCAGCTTGAAGCCCTTGAGCTAAGATCAACTCGGGATGGAGCTTTGTATTGCTACGCCAAGAACAATGATCTGCTCATTTTGATTGACCATCTGCATCAGTTTCTCTGGCGGCGAATGAACTCGTGCTGTCATTCTTCGATCATGGTCTTTGTGAACTGCAATGCGTTGATCCAAGTGGCAGAGCCACCCACTCCAACTGATTACCGCATCTTAGGAAACTCGACACCCATAAGGCCAGATTTGGCGCCTGTTCTTGGGTTACTGCGGGAGTTCCCTCCTAGGTTGTTGCGTCCTCTTTGAGCTTCGATTTTGATGAACCCCCATTTTCCAAATACTATTTTGCGGAATGTGCCCTCTTCCCAACCCCCTTTCCTACGAAAGACATTACATATTGAATATTGACCGCTGCGCATAGGCCATGTGTGAGGGTACCTTTGCCACGGACGAAGATGCCTTGTTATCCATGAACTTTGGCGGGTGGGATCTCCTCACGCCCAGATGAGCCAGGGGCAGGTTTCCCACAAAGGAGATTGGACATTTAGGGCGCCAAGACCCTTGGCCTTTGTGGGAAAATTAGAGCTCAATGAGTTCCCCAATGCCCCTCCCATATTTTTGCCGCTGAGCGGACGATTTGAGCTGGGGTCAACCCACACGCTTGGGGATTCAATTCTTATTTCATATATACTTTTTTGTAAAGCATTAGCAACTCCCGAAACCGTGGGTCCCTTGTGGTTGCATGTTGACGGGTTCTCAAAAGTTTAACTTTTAGTGAGTTGAACGGAAACCCGCACTGAACCCTAAAGACCTGAAAACGTAGGGGGACGAATGGGAGCCGCCACATGAAGGGCCATTTGTCAACGCGATGCTAATTCGGAGCTGAGCCATACGGTGACCGCCCTTAGTGCTTGGCCACTAGTACCTTTGATGTGGGAGCTTCTCAAAATGGGACCCCCTTTTGGTTGGCATAAGAGAAGCCAAAAGGAAAGCAACGCATTTCCGATTTGAGAACCGCGCGGGGTTAAGACCCCCGTGGGTGTTCGGCCGCTTCACCGGGTCCCGGCTTGGTGGAATCGCTCGCTACAGCCAACCCCTCCCGAGAACCCCCCGAGAACCCCCCGAGAACCCCCCGAGAACCCCCCGAGAACCCCCCGAGAACCCCCCGAGGTTCCGACGCCAGCATCCAGCTGGTCACCCAGGCCACGCACCACTGAGCCCAGGTCTTTGAGCCTCGAGGCCAGGGCCGTCGGAGCTGGCAGCCCAAGTTTTTTGAAAACGATCAAAACATGAGCCAAGCGAGTGACCAAAGCAACTTTGGGAATGAACTAGATGAACCAGCTTTTGGGCATGCACCATTTTGGGAGCCAGAAATCAGGGAACCACAAGAGTGGGATGGTTTTGCTGGAGTGTACTGAGGAAAGAGGTAGGGGTGTTTTTTGTTTCCCCTAGAGCTGGGTTTTTCCTAGGGCTGGTTTTGCGCAGGGCTGGCAACATCCCCAGCATCACCAGCCTCAATTGTCCCGGAGGTGGCCTATTGGCTCTGATTGGGAGGCAGTTGGGAGTTGCTGAGGGCTGGTTTAAGCTGGCTTCTTCATTAGGGTGGGTCTTTTGGTTGATTTAGGGCTGACATCAAGGCTGCGTTGGGAGGGTTGACTTTGGGTGGATTTGCTGATTTGTGTCGGGTGTGCTGCTGGACAAAAGGTGCCTTTGGGGTTGCTTTAGGAATGTTGATGCGTGAGTTGTGGGCGAGTGTTGGTGGTTTGGGGCAACTCTCCAAAACCAATCCTAAACGAGACCAAAACTCACGTAACCACATCCCAAAAGCAGCCCTTGGCAAGCAGCACACCCAACACAAATCAAATCAGCTCCAAGCCAACCCCAAATCCACTCAAAGTCAACCCTAAACCTGCCCAACAGCAGCCTGGATGTCAGCCTAAATCAACCCCAAACCACCACAAGACCCGCCCTAATGAAGACCTCAGCCAGCCTAAACCACCCTTAACTTAAACCAGCCCCCAGCAACTCCCAACTGCCTCCCAATCCGAGCCAAAAGGCAACCTCCGGGCCAATTGAGGCTGGTGATACGGGGGATGCGGCAAGCCAACCCGACCAACCAACGAACCAACCAACCGACCGACCAACCAACCAACCAACCCAGCCCTGTTAAAAAACCAGCCCTAGGAAATACTTATAAAAAACACCAGATCCTAGGAAAGCGTCTGCTTCTATCAAAAAAAACACCACCACTCTCACAACAAGTCCTCTTTTACCCTGGAACGTCCATCAGCCTGGAATGAATCGTGCATGGGTCTCAAGATCGCCCCAAAAATGTTGATTGAGCCCCCTTTGGTTGTCCTAGGCTTTGCCAAAATGGTTGGTGCCCCCCAAAAAAGCTTGTTCCCAGCATGTCTTAACCCCAAAATGCCTTCCCTGTACCAACCTTAAAAGGCTTTGATCTGCCGATTTTACTGATTCCGAGGGTGCGAGCGAAAGCTCATGTAGGTCCTTGACTTGGGGGAATCGGGAACTAGTGCGAAATTTGCACCTGGAACGCGAGTTTGGAGATTCCTTTCAAAATGGAAGTCTTCCTCCAACCAAAGCTGACTTGCATTGAAGGCTTTGCAAGATTCAGGTTCCATGTTTGCTTTGAGGCCAGGGTTTGGAACTGCTTTCCTTTTGAGGGTCATTTCCCCTTTTCTTTCCCAAAGCTGTCGAGGCCGGGGGGCTCTTTCTCCTTGCCGGCCAACTCCTTTCGACCGCGGGTGGCCACCTGCCAGGCCAAGGATGGCACGCATCATCGCATCGCAAAGCTTCGCCCAAGTTTCCGATGCAGTCATTGGCACAAGAGCGAGTTGACGAAATGAGCAGAACTCCGCCATTTTAGTGAACATATGGTTCCTTAAGCTTCGCTTTTGCCGGGGCCCCCCTGGGTGCTTCCATGTGGCTCCAGGAGATGTTCGTCGGTTGCAAGCTAAGAGCCCCCCACCCCCACTTCCATTCGGTTGAGATTATTGCTAACCCTAGTTGGTTTCAAAGATCTATCACTACTGGTGCGTTTCAGGCGTTGGTCCTGCTTGCACTAGTTCAGGCGGCAGGCAGGAGGCCTAAAGACATACGAACCTGCTTGAGCTGCGGGTGACTAGTATTGTTTCCTTTTTCCTGGGGCACTTAAGCAAATGGAGGCCCAAGATTTCTTTAACCTGCACAGAACCCTTCGATCAAGAAACCCTAGAAGGTTGCGGAACGCGTTTCCTGAGGGATTGCTCTGGATTCCTGTGGATTCCTGTGGATTCCTGCGTATCATGTATCGGTTGACAAAACTTGGCTGTGGACCTGTGTGGTGAGCCTAACTTGTTCAACGATCCGGCTTCATGTAAAGTGGCAAAACCTGCGGAAAATCCTTGAAATGCCGGTAATTGTGTGTTTACTTGGCATCCACCAGAAGCGATCCACCCCCATTCCAAAAGCACGTCTCATTTTGTATGGCAGAGTTGGCTGTGAATGCTGATGAAAACACAATGCAAAATGTTCGGTGGGCCCCCATGACCTTTCCAACAAGTACAACCTGCCATAGGGAAGTAGAAAGGGGGCAAAGGGATGCTACCATTTTTCTGATCTTGACTTGTTTGGGTATTGAAGTACTCAACAACCCGATCTTAACAAATTCCGCGCCTCACTCGCCTGCGCCTGAGCTTCCGCCTTCTTTTCCTCTCGCTGCGACCCTGCATCCATCTTGCGCCTTGCGCGGGTCCGGATGTCAAACCATCCCTTTGCGGAAATGAACAAACTACCCTACCCTCCCAACTAACATGAAACCTGTCTGCCCATGTTAAGGCGAGCTGAGGGTAAAAACGAGCTCATAGCTCAAGTGATACCCCACTTAGGCGACTCAGACTCATGGCAAGTGGGTTATCTTCGATACGGGAATCGGGGGATTCCCTTTTTCCCCGATGAGGCGACCTTTTTTGAAGCACCCAAGCCAAAATGGCGGCCGACTCAAAAGCCCAAGGCTACCTGCCGACTTTACACAACACTCCCAAAAAGGCTGCCAACTTTACAAAACATGCAGACAAACAATAAACAACTCAATGCCCAAAGTCCACGTTTTTTGTCATGGCTCCATTGGTGGGATGGCATCAAAACAACATCCCATGCAATAAGAAAAAGGATCCCCATGTAAACCTACCTCGTGGTTTTTCGCTGCTTGCTTTATCCACAAGGGGATGCGTCAAACAAAAACTCCAAGAATGGCTTCTGTTTTCTTTGTCGTTTCCCCTTAAACCAATTCAACCAACCCTGAAAAGTCACATTACTCTTAGTTGGTGCCTTGGATTGTTGGTTTGCGGGGTTGAACCCCAGGTTCTCGTGGCCGGCAATTTTGGGAGACCACCCAAGCTCCACACCTCCAAACCACCAGGCTCCAAAACACCAATGAGGGAAGCTGAGAGAAAAAGGCGCCGAGCCCCGCGAAACGCGGCAACAGACCGCGCCTGGCTTCTTCCAACTTCTGCTCCCGCAGGCGCAGCTCCTCGTCCAGCGCCGCATTGCGCTCCTGGCAAGTGGATTCGAACAGCCGCGACCAGGGAATCCGTTGGTTTCTTCAAAGACGGTCTGGGTTTCTGGAAGCGGTTCAAAGGCGAACTTCGTTTGGGTCTGATCTTTGACAGGATATGCCCCATACCACTCATATACTATACCCCATACTTGGACAACCGCACCGGCGCTTAGCGAGCGGTTGATGTCCCCGGGAAGCTGGAGGTTTGAGAAGCTGGAGGCCTGGAAAGTTGGATGGCCGGGAAGCGTAGAGCAAACGGCAGCCCCGTGCAAACGCGACACAGAAACTCTGGAAAGGCGTGTAGTTTGGCTACAAGTAGCTGCTTGGCCGCGGCTCTTTGGCTCGGTGGCTGCCAGCTGGCTGCTTGATAGCATCGAAACAAGCAAGCCACTGCCAAAGGTGCATCCCTCGTCCAAAACTGGTATGAGCTCCCCCATGTCCCTCCCAAACCAACAATGGTAAGATTAAAAAGCCGATCCCAAGCGACCATCTTTAAGCCTTCAATCGCTCGCGAATCCGCGAACAAGCGGAGCGCTCGCCTCCACGGTGCGGAACTGACCCTTGCGGCCCTGCTTGGCCAAAAGCTGCTCCCGCTCGCTGCTGCACACCTGGAGCTCGCAAAGTCAAGAAACGGTCGCGTCGCGGTTCGCCGCACCCCACCCCCCCTGAAAAAGAAAAACACACAAGCAAGAGAGCTCACTGTACCCCCCAAAAGCTTGGTCAACAAAAGACAGAACCACGGCTCAAGGAGGTCAACTTGGGTGGTTGCTCCCTGTCCTTTTTGTTGTCATTTCAGTTTCCGTCGTCAAACACACACACACACACACACACACACACACACACACACACACACACACACCAACTGTATCCTCTGGCAAACCTTTTCTGATGCAGTGGGACCCCATGACTAGCGTATCACAGGGATTCCCTTCATATCACATGGAAAGCGGCCATGGCGGGTACCTCTTGATTTCCCTTTTCCAACAGAGTACCCAGCACACCTCTCCTTTGGGGTTCCTAGACCTCCAGAAAAAAAAGATGCAAAAAAGTTGGGGTCGCAACTGAGGAACGTATTAGCTGCCTTTGAGGCAGCTGGAAAGGAAAAAGAAGCTGGAAAAACACGTGGCACCTTCGGGCTTTCATACAAGCCCACTCACTGTTCATTAAAACCTCTATTTTTGTCTCTGCTGGTTGCTATTTAAACTTCTTGCTTTTGAGAACAAAAGTGGCCACCACTGGGCGCGGGCTTTGCTCCATAGACATAGACTTTGACCAAACGAAGCGTCGCCTGGCGCCGTTGCTCAAGGGCCCGGAAGTGCTGCTCCGCCGCCTGCACCTCAAAAGGAAAGGAAAACTGCGTGGATCGTGGGATCTGAAGAAAGTCAGCAAAATGGTGTTTCTTTTCTTTTCGTGCTAGGAAACCGGAAGAAACACCGAAGCTGGGTTCGGTTTTGCCTAAAAAGGTGGCAAGACGAGGCGAGGTTCTGTGTCTCCAAAGGCTGAATCGGCAAGATGGGAGCAAGCACGCTGTATTCAATGGGAATATAATACACTTGCCATTGAGCGTCATCTCGTGGCATTTGAGGTCTGTATCACCCAAAATGATGACGCTTCCCGACAATAGGGGCTTACAATGCACCGCCAGCAAGTGTTTCGCAAAAGGCACAAACAATATCCCCTTGCCGAGCACCCAGAGCATGTACCCTCCGGAAGTTGCAAGTTTAGCTGGAATCGCACAATCGCACACTGTGATATTGGAAGGCCTTCCCAATGACTAGGTTCCAAGGCATCCTGCTTGGAATATTAGCAAAACACGGTGGCTTTGCAGCTAGCCACTCAAACATGAACGAACGCACAAACCAAAGAAAAACGCAAAGCAACTAGCTCCTTCAACCCGGTTGTTTAGGACACACTTCAACTGGCATGACGCTTAAACAATACTTCCAAAAAACGGAAATTCGGATCCCTGAATTCTCCCGATGTCGTTCCCTGAACAAAAAGCCTCTTGTCGGCGGCCTTTTGTCGCCCTTGTGTATCCTGTGGATTTTCACTGCACATACCTTGCACAAACATAAAGAGTGCTCTATAACAACTCAATTGTGAACGATGGCTGCTGTTGGCCATACAAAAAGCAACCACAAATTGGTGGGCATGGATACAACCCCCTTGGACAGTTTCGGAACATCACAGACTCCTTCCACTGGGTACCCTTTGTTTTATGGGTTTTCAAGGAGTCTCGGCCCGAGCACCTCTCAGACGGTGAGACCGGTCTGACAGCAGAGCCTCGGGACACCAGCCATGGATTTGCTTCTGGCCGACCAGCAGGAAGGCTCCATCGTCAGCATCGTGGCCAAGGTCTCTCTTGGGTGCGATGAGCACGGCAGAGCTCTGCTCATGGGGGTGTCGCCGCAGCAGGACTTCCTCCTCAACCTGCCTTGCAAGGCGGACCAGCTGGTTGCGATCTATGATGCGAAGGTCTCCTTCGCGGCCTCTTCGCAGCCACTCCTCCAGGTGGACAGCCATGACAACGTGGTTGTATGTCCCACGCACACCCGGGAGGCCTTCTTGTGCTTTAAGGAAGCCTGCGCCGGAATTGGGGGCCTGTCTTTGGGGGCGCAGCACGCCGGCATGCGCCCAACTTGCACACCTTGACCACTCACAGCTTGCAGTTGATGCACTCCGGCTACAGGGACACAGCAATGTCGTACTCGGCGATGTCGCCAACCCCAGCATGGTTCACAAGCTCCACAGCTGCGCCGGAGGGACACCCTGTCTTTTAGCGGCAGGCTTTCTGTGCCAGCCATACTCTTGCCAAGGAGATGGCTTAGGCCTTGCCGATCTGCGCGGCAAAACCCTGCATGCTATACTTCGATGTGGATGGCTGATGCAAAGCGCTGGCATCATCCTTGAGTGCGTTGCCAATATCATCAACTACCCGGAGGCGCTCAACCTTATACAGGCTTATGCTCGCAGCAGGGGTTGGCGCATGCGCACCACCATCCTGGACCTACAGGACCAGTGGGCCAGCAGACGCAAGCGTTGGTGGTGTGTTCTCTTACCTCCAAGTTCACCTCCTCCACCTCCTCCACCTCCTCCACTTCTTCTTCCTCCTCCATTCTTTGCAGCTCTGCTTCCACTTCCTTTTCAAACTTGTCCAAGTCATCTAGTTCCTCTCCATCCACGTCTGTGCCCATCATGTCCTCATCACGATGCGACTCCGATGGCGCAGAGGACACGTAGCCAGCAGCAGTGGAGATGTCGTCCTTAGAAAAGCAGTTGCACCGGTTAAAGTAATGATGGGGTTGTGAAAGTGTGGTAGACTCACTTCAACAAAGTTGCATTGGTTGAAGTAATGATGGGTGTGGGATTTGGAAAAAAGTGTTGCAGACTCAGCCTAGGCTCGGCCAACTCATCCCAGGCAATCCCGTTTAGTTGGGCTGCCAGCTTGAACTTCTCTAACAACTCTGTTTTTGCCAGCTTTGCCTCTGCCACTTTCGCATTGACGGCCTGGCCAAAATCTACCTGCTACAGCACGGTCCAAGACGTCATTCCGGAGTGGCCTGCCTGGCCAACAACGGAAGAAGAAAACCTGCTGTGGGACTCCAATGAGTGCACAAAGTACCAGGACCCCATCTATGGCACGGACAATCGTGGACTCGACCTTCGAGCTCCTGCTCCCACTGCACTGCACTCCTGGGGCTCTGCCTTGAGAGCCTGCCCTTGCGGATGCCGCCAGCATCCACTGTCGGAGCATCGACTCGTGCAGCATGGACTCCGTGGATTCTCAGTCCCATCCACGCTGCAGGGACAACCTAGGTTCATACATCCCAAAGAAGCAGGCCTGCTCAACACCTGGCCAGCTTCGATCCCGCTCCCATCGCCGGCCAGAGGAGCTTGTTCTTATCGGACAAATTGCGGCGCCTTTGCAGGCAGTGTGGGTCTTCTCACACATCACCAACTGGATTGCCGAACTCCACATCGGTCATGCCCCACGCTCTCCAATCAACTATGTCCAGGAGTACCAGACCAAGCTCCTTGTCGACCGGGATCTGACTTTTGCAACTCGGCACCACTTCTGCCCACGCACCATCAGGCTTCGCCAGCACAACGAACCAGATGTCCACGTCAACCTCAACCAACCTACTACCATCAGACAACTCCAGCAAGCCGAGACCAAACTGCAAGGCTGGGCAGCCACGGTCCACATCGGACACAAAGGTCTCAAGCGAGCTCCGGATGAGCTACTGCTCACAACACCGCATGACACCTACCAAGTCCATCGCTCCCAGAAGAAGCAAGCACTCAATCCGCCCACAGGGACCATCAGTGTCCAGCTCCTTCACGCGGCCGGCCGCGAAACCTTCTACCTGAGCACAGGTCTTCTCTTCGCAGAAGCTATCTGCTACTTTCCAGAGCATCTCAGCGGGGACTACATCAACCAGGACAGTGGAGCCTTCCTCACACTTGATGAGCGGCTCTGGAACAACGCAGTCATCCTGCACTGTGGTAATCTGCGAGCCTACGGCACTCCTGCCACCATCTGCTGGAGCGATACAGCAGTCATCCACAACATTTGCCAACTCCTCAAGTTTGCGGCCTCCATTGATCCCGAGCCTTGGGGGATCATTCTCCCTGTTGCAGCAGCACATCTACCACGACCTGACCCTTCACCACACCATGTGTGTGCGCTCGGAAAGTCCCTGCGGCAATACCACCGACTTGCCACTGTTTTTCCCCACAACCAGCACTGGACGCTGCTCACCTTGCAGCTTGGTGAGGAGGGCTCCGCTGAGATCACTTGCTGGGACGGCCTGCCACATCTAAATCACAACGCTGCCGACATCCTGGCCACCCGGATTTGCCACCTCATGCACTGCAATCACCAAGGTGTTATTCACCGCAACCATTTTCAGCAGGCTGCCCCTGGGACCTGCGGCGCCATTGCTCTTGCCCATTTCGGTATAGCAGCAGATCTCTGGGATACCATCACCCATGAGAACATCTACAATTGGCATCTTGCCTACGGCACCACCACCCACAACCCTGATGAGCTCTTTGCAGGCGGCTTCCCAACTGAGCAAATCAACCACGACTTGACACAGCTGCTGCTCACCAAGGGGGTACCCCCCGAGGCTGTGCAAGACCGGGCAAGCCAGGCCATTGCCAAACTCAGTGCCACTACAGTGCAAGAAGCACTTGAATCACGCAACCCCTGGCAATCCTTGAAGGCTGCTGCCTCTCGACCGGCCACACGCTTCAGATGGATTTCCACCGATGAGCTCAACAACCACATTGCCACACAAGCCCAACGGGAACACGGTGCCTTCATCCCGAACGCCAAGCAGAAAAAGCTCAAATCCGACAAAAAAGCGCGACACCAATCGGAGCTTCAGATTAGCCCTGAGCACCTTGTCATCCCAACCGGCACCTTTGTCGACGACCAGGACGAACCCCTGCAACAGATTCCAGCTTCGGAGGTTGGTGCCAACCGCAGGGGCATTGCCATCGTCCCGGCCACTGATCCAACAGGTTCCTCGCTGACGGAATTTCCATCTCAATCGACGCCCTTGCGCTCCTCACAACCGCTGAGCTCCCTGTCAACCTTGCGGGGCTCACTACTGAAGCTATTCGCTTCCCTGCCCTGTACACCGGCACGGATGAGCCGGTTTTGCTCACTGGGACTCTGATTCAACTCGGCGATGTCTCTGTTAAGCGCATTCAGCCAGCCAACCAACCCCTTGAAGATGAGCCTGACCTATGCATCTTTCGCATCAGCGTCTTCAAGGACGAGCTACCCCACGACTGGCCTGACTTCATTAAAGCTCCCTTGAGAAATGTCATCAGAGGCCTGCAATTTTGCCAAGACGATGCTTGCGGGCAAAAATGCGGTAAGTTCCACCCTTCTCTTGAAGAAGCTGTCTCAGCCGTCATTCTTGATGCCTGGGCGTGGAGATACTCAAGCCTGGCTGGTCAGAAAGCGTCCCCAGCTGACAGCACGGTCTTCCAAGTTCTGGTGAGGGTGCCACTTTCCGCTGGCAGCCTACTACACATAGCTTCTGGCTCCAATGGGATCTACTTCGATCCACGCTCCACAGATGGCCGGGCTGTCGACGCTACCTTCTCCGTGGTGTGGCTACCAGCCGCCACAGGCCCTGAGGCACGCCACAAAGCTCGAAGGCATTCGTGTCAAAGCCACCAACGAGGCAGCAGCACACTCCTTCCTTCGCCCGGGACTGCCTTTTGTCAACATCAAGGTCTCCTGCATCTACCGCGTCTTTCCTCTGCCACATGGAATCCAGCGATCAGCAGTGCAACAACTTCTCACTGGACGGGAAT